CCCCAAAACCCCAAAACCCCAAAACCCCAAAACCCCTTTTAAAGGAAATTTAATTGAATTTTGATGAAAGTTAAAATTAAGAATTTTAGAAGACAATGAGTGAGAAAGAGGTACTGATCGAGATGGAAGAGAAGAGTAGGGATGGAAGAGATGGGAAGAGGACCAGTGGGGTTAGGAATGTGTCAAAGAGTTTGGAAGGTGGGGAACCTATTGGGTATTCAGAAGCGTTTTATGATATTGTGAAGGCATCTATTCCAAGTATTCTTACATGTATGGTGTACAGGACAGTCTCTGTTTTGAACTTTATAGTCATTGGAAGACTTGGAGATCCAGCTTATGTTTCAGGAGCAGGTTTAGGGATTATTACTTACACAATTGCCTGTACTGCTATTTCTAGAGGTCTTGGAGGAGGAATAGATACCTTATGCTCCCAAGCGTTTGGGAACAAGAACCCATACCTAGCAGGGTGATATTACCACAGAGCTGTTATAATCACTTCATTACTGATGATTCCGCAAGGTATTGTATTGTGGAACTGAGAAGCAATTCTTGTTTATTTTGGACTTCCAGAATTATCCGCTAAATATGCAGCAATTTACATCAGAATTCTGTTGCCGAGCTTGTGGTGTGAATGCCAGAGAGATTTGCTTAGAAAATTTCTATCTTGCCAGAAAGAGTTTAAGCTTATCCTTTATAGTCAGATTATCTCATCAGTATTACATCCTTTGTGGCTCTTTTTGACAATCTATGTTTGAGGTCTCAGATTTGAAGGAGTGGCTATAGCTAACTCATTGGTGGTTTTCTCCAATTTCTTCATCCCATTTATGATTATATACTTTGATCGGTCATGGGTACAGGAAGAATCTTGGCATTGGTTCTCGAAGGACTCGTTCAATGGGCTCTGGCAGTATCTTCATTATGGATTCCCTTCATTGTTAGTCGTTTCATTCGAGCTTTGGGGATTTGAAGGTATAAATATAATGGCAGGATATCTTGGAGTTAATGAAATGGGAGCATGCTCAATCGTATTTGAAATTATTATTCTATTCTTTATGTTAGCTCTCGGAATGTCATTTCCAAGCTCAAGTCTTGTAGGGAATAGTCTTGGTGCTGGAAAGCCTAAGAATGCACTTATTTATGCTATGGTTGCTGTAGGAGTTTCTTTAGCTTTAGGTGCTTTGACTTTTTTGGTTATTTTTATTTTTCCTGAGCAACTTGCTTGGATGTTTACTAATAATGAGGTAATTTCTAGATTAGTCATAATATCTGTTCCCTTGATGGCTTTATGCTGTTTGGGAGATTTTGCTCAATGCATTTCTGCAGCAATCATCAGAGCAATGGGAAAACAGAAATATCTGTCAATATCAGTGATCATCAGTTATTGGCTAATTGTTCTCCCATTAACTTACTATTGTGCTTTTACTCTTGGTTGGGGGATCACAGGAATCATGTGTGGACTTCCTATCGGCTTAACAGTCCTTTGCTTATTCTCAATGTACATAATCTTCTCTGAAGATTTCTCACAATTATCACAAGAAATCATAGATAGAATTCAAAAAGACAAATCCAAAATCAAACAAACTCCAAATTCATCCAATTAAACCATCCACAAAGATTCATCTATAATATTCTCAACTTCTCTAAACCCCAAGGGGTTTTGGGGTTTTGGGGTTTTGGGGTTTTGGGG